CTGGGTCAGAGGAAGCACTGGAGGGGCGCTCGCGGTGGGCTCAGGCCTCCCTGTCACAGCGGCAGGAGGCCCAACTGACAGCTTCAGCTTTGTCTCCACGAGTGGATTTCCCACACTGTCCATGCCAAGGCCATCTGTACCCGATGGGGTGGGAGAGAGGGCAGGGCAGGAAACGCTGAGCCTAGCTGTGCCAGCCTCTGGGTGCACCAGGCTGCTGCTCCATCTCCCACGCCCGCCGCCTGCCCCCTGGCAGGCCCGATAGCCTCGCGGACGCCCGTTTCCTTCAGAGCCTTCGTCGCGGCCTTTCCCGTCACGGCCTCCTTCAGTCGCCAAAGACGAAGCACAGATGACTTTTAGGGTGTTTGGTTTCCACAATCATGAGGCACAGTTTTACTGAGTCACAGGACTCTGGAGCTCGTGAAGGAGGCAGCTGTCTCTGTTGGGTGTCAGTGACACAGAACGGGTGACCAGCCTGGATCTCACCAGGCACGGAGCCCGGGAGAGTCTGGCACAGCTTCTGCAGGCTCTGAGCTGGTGGGGCTCATCCTGCTCCTCCCCGCAGCATGCCACGGCCGGCGCCCTGTGAGTGGACAGAGCCGGTTTCCGCACCGGGACCAGGGAAAGGTGGAGCAGGCGCCCCCTGCGTTCCCTGTTGTGGAAATCACAAGGTGAAATCGCAGCCGTGCTTAGAGGTCACCAGTGCCTGTGTATCAGCTTATCTTAATTCCCACGATGGCCTTCGGGGACAGACACTGCTGTGGTCTTTGTTTGCAGACAAGGGAACAGGGACACCAAGATGTTAGACCTTCATCCAAATCCACAGAGCTTGTGAGAGGTGAAGCCACTCTGACGCAGGCACGCTGGCCCCCAAGGCCTGCGCCCACCCCTCCCAGCCTCACCCAGCCGGCCCGACGGGGCTTTGTAAAGAAGCTCCCGTTCCCCTTGATTTGCTGATGGTGGTTCCCTGTGTGACCTAACACTTCCCGTCAGGTGAACCAGAGATGTGAGCAACCGGAAGTCCCAGCAGCCACTCCAGGGCTTCAGCGGTAACGTACATGTGTGGACACCAGTCCCAGTGCCGTCGCTGTTCTGGCCTGTAACTGACTTAAGGAACATCACTCCATCAGGAGGCTGCCGGTGGCTGTGGGCATCCATCTGATTCACCACCACCTGGGTGCTGTCCAGTAGCCACTGGAGGGCCCAACCCAGGCTGGTCACAGATCCATGGCAGGCAGAGACCCCAACCAAGAATCTTCACCCCAGGGTGGAAGCCAGACTCCACAGCGTTTCAAACATCATGCTCTAGATGTATGTCTGAGGTTTTAAAAGCAGTGTAAGAGGCATTAGCAATGCCTCCCTGGAAAAAAGAAGTATGGCCAGCTACCCCACTCCTCTGTTTATACTCAAAGGACTTAAAATCAATGTACTACAGGGACACAGCCACATCAATGTTCATAGCAGCTCAATTCACAACAGCTAAACTATGAGACCAGCCTAGGTGTCCTTCAACAGATTGATGGACAAAGAAAATGTGGTATACACACACAATGGAATATTACTCAGACCTAAAGAAGAAGGAAATTATGGCATGTGCTAGTAAATGGATGGAACTGGAGACTGTCATGCTAAGTGAAATAGGCCAATTCCCCAAAACCAAAGGCTGACTGTTCTGACATGTGGATGCTGACTCCCAGTAAGGGTGGGGGAGGGACAAAGGGGAATGAAGGGAAGGGAGGGGGATGGGAATGGGAAAGACGGTGGGATGAATCAGACGTCACTTTCCTATGTTCATTTGAGACTACTGACCAGGGTAACCTCACATCATGTTCAGCTGCCAGAGTGGGTAGTCCCACTCCATGTACGGCACGGTATGTCAAAACACACTCGACTGTCATGTGTCTCTAAAAAGAACAAATCAAAACATTAAAAAGAAAGAAACAGCAGCCTGACGGCCTCGCATTCCCTCCTGTCTTTAACATGCTGGTCATTGCTGGTCACTGCTGGAGGCGGCCACATTGGCCAGGGTCCAAGTCGGCTCTGCTCTGTTCACAACGTGTATGGAAGGGCACTCCACTGGACGCCAGTGTGCACCGTGGCACGTGAGGCACACTGACTACCACGCCACTGACTTACACCGCAGCCACGGCACCAGCCACACGCACCACGGACGTGCAGTTCCACTTTGCCTTTGTGGCTGTGGAGGCCTGGGGAGCAGGGGGCCAGCAGGGGTCCCTATTGCCTCTGGAGATCCTTGTGGAGGACAGGCACGTCCAGGATCATTCACAGCCCATTGATGCTATGGCTGAGCCAGTGACATTCCCCTGAAAGCCATCCGCCCTGACTCCCTGCTTCCTGAACACTCACAACCCTAAGGCAGCCTCGCACCCACGAAAGGTCAGCAAGTAGCTCTGTCATCCCCTGTGGCCCACCTGGCCTGCCGCCACAACAGACGGTCTCCTCCAAGGACGCTCTGAGAAGCCGTGAAGAACGGTGAAGCAGGCCTCGCCCACGCTGGCCTGGCCAGTCTCTGGACCAGACTTTGGGCATCAGCAGCGACACAGGTGAAGAGCACAGGCAGGTGCCTGGCGCTCCTGGGCGGCCCTGTGTGAAGGCTGCAGGCCCACTCTTACCACGGCCTGACCACACTCTGGGCGAGGCTTCTCCAGCATTCCGAGTCAGGACCTGCACATACCTCAAGAAGCTCAGTGGCCACCTGCTGCCCACTGCTCCCCTGTGAACAGCAGTGAGCATTGTGGGGTAGGGAGATGAGACCATCTGGGGGCGTGGACAGGATTCAGGCTGTGGCCCTGGGAGGAGGTGGGACTTGAGAGGGGCAGGCAAGGCCACAGGGAGTGGGAAGAGAGATTTTTAAGCAAATTAAGCAAACGCTGTCCGGCCACGTTCTCAACTCTCCCTGACACACCAGACCAATGGTTCCAGGCCCTGCTCTATAAATAGCTGTCTGGTCCACTGTCCCCAGGCCCTCCAAGGACCTTTCAGAAGAGCTGAGATGTGCCCTTCCAAATATCCAGGAGAGAGGTTGTTCTCAGATGACCCTGATCATCCCACTGTCCACGTGGTGTGACCATTCCCCAAATCACCGTATTGGTTTAGGATTGTGTGGCAGTAGAGGCATGGATGGTCCATTAACAGCCGGCACACTAACAACTCAACGTCTTGTTGAGAAAACCAGGGGCCCAAAGTGAGCTTCACCACTGTCCCTTGTGGGTATGAGGATAGGATGGAATGACCTGGCAGCCCGAGGAAGATACCTGCCGGTAACTACGGTAATGAAGAGCCACCATGGGGAACCTAGCCCCTGGCTCACATGCCCTGGTCACCACCAGCCATGGGGTCGGCGAGGAGCGGTGCTGAGCACACAGCCCACCCCAGCTTGCGATCTGCAGTGTGGGCGTGCACGGCAGGAGGGTCTTCCATGCTGAACGTGGCCACCCTGATCCAGGGGTGGAGATGGACGGCGCTCTGGGATTCCACCTCTTCTCCCCCTGTCTCCCCTGCAACGTTCAATATGTCTGAGATTGTTTTTGGGAAACAAAACAAATCAATATGGCACTGTGCTGCTCACAGCCTGCAGACGGCACTTATGTGGCTCCGCTCTTCCCCCAGCTGACATCTCCAAGCCAGCCTGGCCCTGGCGAGGGTTCCGGCTGCCTTCCCCCCGTTCCTCCACCCCCAACACTTCTGGAAATAAATAGTTAAGTCATCCTTTAGGCAAAGGCGATCTTCAAAGTTTGCTTTCCCCTACTGAACAGTGAAGCAATGATCCCAGCGCACCAGCTTGGACCTCAGAAGTCTGAGCGTCAGCAGAGAACCTTCCAGGGAACAACTCTAAGTGGATTAAGCTGCCACATCACTGAGATTGATGTAAAATATCTGGGACTCTGTTGTCATAGCTACACAATTTCTCATAAATGCCTTGAAGAAAAAATCCCTTTCAATGGATGTGCTAAAGCAAAAGCTTACCTTGAATGCAAAGCAATGCATTTTTTATTTCATTAAGAAGATGCTGAAAAAGATGTTTTCAATCTCCTGGTTATGGATTTCTTTAAGGAGATTTGTCCCAGAGTGGCCTTTCTCTGTGGGGTCAGCTTCTCTGTTGGAAAACAGGCCGCTGGACCAGGACCATGGTGGTCTCTGGAACTGGGTGGGGGAAGCTTTCTGGGATGTGGAAATGCTCTATGTCCTGACTGGGGCTGAGAGGCACAAACATTTGCCAGACACACTCTCTTCCCAATGTGTGTGTTGTTGTGCGCAGTTATATCTCTAGGGAAAAGAAGAACGGAGCCTTCAGTGACGCGATGGCGGGGAGCAGTGCTGGACTACGTGTCCACCTGCGTTGTGATGTTGGAGACACGGAGCCGCTGCCGTGCGGAGCCCGGCGTGGGGCGCACGCGGCACTGGGAGAGCGTGACACGGGCTTGTGAAACACCCAGAGCACCCATCCTGCCCTGACCTGGCCCAGCATGGTGAGCTCTCAGGAGGCCTGAGCTTCTGCTCAGAATTTTGGTGATTTAATAATGGAAACAGCAGAAGACTTCTGGCAGCAACACGAGACCGGCCATAGAAAATGGCCAGCAATTTAGACATGCTTGGAACGGCAGGGCACTGGTTGGTTTGGGAAGATTCAACATTTTTCCCCAGCCCTCCTCTCCCCCAGGAGAAACAAGGCCCTCTTCTTCCTGGAGGGATGGAGAATCACATGCATTTCATTTCCTGAACGTTCCCAGAGGCCTCCTAGGATCTTTGGTCAGTTGTCCACTAAGGGCTTCCTGCCTGTCAGGGCTGGGCCAAAGGGCTCTTGGCTACCTGTGGGTGCCTGGCCCCATGCCCCAACACATCCATGCGATCATCTCAACTTAGTAGAGCCGCAGGAAGCTGGAGTTTAACTTATGGTTAAAGGCAAAGAACAAAGAAGATGACACCAGCAGCCAACCTAGCAGCCGTGGGGTCTGCGTGGCCGCCCACCACCCTCCTCTTACCTTCGTACAGCCAGTCGCTCAGGCCGTTGTAGATCACGCCCTCCTTCCCAGTGGAGACCACGCGGATGGCCTGCTTCCCCACGTGCGCACAGTAGTAGATGTTGTTCTCAAAGATGAAGATCTGATTGGAAAGAGGAGGAAGCCAGCATGAGCCAAGGGGGTGGCACACACAGGCCGCCTTCACGCTCTGAAGCCATTTTCGTTTTTCTGTTGTATTTATTTGAAAGAATCATTTCATGTTTCCCCACCAGCAACACGATCTCTATTCGAGGATCAATCAGACTCAGACCCCACAGAGTTCACCCAGCATCATCACCATTTATCCATTTAACATCCAAATGACCCGACTGGGCGATTGGCGGCCTTGGTACTACTGGGTACTTCAACATCAGGTTGGACTGGGCACTTAGCAGTTGCAGTCTCTCCCCAGTTATTAGGACTGGTGGGTGGGGAGCCTGGAGATCTGGGTCCTGGGTGCTCTGTGCTCGCTATAAAACTGTGTGGTGAGGACCTGTCTGTACTCCACGGTTGGCCAGCTCCATTGCTCCAGGTCCAGGGGAGGCAGAGCACCATGGCCCCAGCCCCAGTTCCCCCTCAGGAGACTGACCCTCTGCTGAGGTCCCGGCTCTCGTGGTCTGACCGCTCACTCTGAAAATCCGTGCGCTGTTTTACACTCGGGCTCTGGGGACCTCACACCTGAGCCACAGGGGTGGTGAGGGGAGCTACGAAGCTGGGGGCCCAGATGGAAGCGTTGAGAGAAAACCAGAGACAGGAGAGGCTGGGTGTCAGGATCTGGAGCAGGGGACCTGGGACCTTCCCGTCAGGCGTGGAGGAGGGGCCAGGCCGGGCGCCTGATGGGTCAGGAGCCAGCTCTGGGGGTCTGCGGCCACAGGAAGCCCCTGACGGAGGCCCGAGTAGGAGACGTGATCAGCTGCAGGCCTCCTGGGACGGGTTGAGGGCTGGGCGGGAGCCAGGCCTTGGACGGGACCCTCCTACAGTCACCTGGAGGGGACAGAGGTGGCAGGCTGGGGGGATGTCAGAGGAATCCACCGGCTGCCAGAGTGGACTGTGGTCTGGGGAGGTGTGCAGGACGATGCAGCCTCTCTCTGGCTGCTCCTGGGGGCCGCTGGGTGATGGCGTGCCAAGGGCAGACCGCAGTGTGGCACAGGATATGATAATCTGACCTCGGGCCTATCACTGAGGAGGGCCGAGGATGGTCCAGGCTGGGGTTGTCAGAATTCAGTGCATAATAGAGATTTTAATAATGGCTTTTAATAACAGCACTTTAAAAACCCAGTGCCCAGTCCACCAGCCCGACCCCTTCTCAGAATCTCTGGTGGGGGACCCAGGCATCGGCATTTTAAAGAAACACAGGTGACTGCAGAGTTCAGCCAAACTTAAGGACCTGGTGCCCAGGAATGGCCTGGCGCTCCTGAAGCAGGCGCTGGCCTGCATGGTACGTGTGCTCTGGGCCACGGGCCTGCTCTGCCCTGCATCCGCCCACCTCCCTGTGGGTACTCACAGAATATTTCTGGTCCTACTTTGCAAACACCCAGTGTCTACAGAAACAGTAACGCGGAGCAAGAACAGGAATCAAACCAGCGTTTTTTTTAAAAAGGAAATTTCAGAAACATATTGTCAGTGTTATTCTACTGAGAGAAGAAGGTCGTTTTTACAATACAGAAGTGACATAGATATTGAATGTTTTATATGGAAAGCAGAGAAAAGGGCAGTTTCCCCAGATTGTTCTCAGCAGGATGGTTCTGAGAGCCCTATTGATTATTAGTTTTCTGCTCGGGCTTCCTGGTTCTTAAAAGTATGCCCTGCAACCAGAAATAAGTCGGAAAACTTCCAGAACAAGTGTGCACCCTAACTGAATCTCCCAGCTGTTCTTGTAAGTCCGCCTGAGGGTAGCACGAGTTCCTAGATTTTAATCCCCTTTACGTGTTCTAAGACTGCAATGGATTTTTTGAACAGAATCAGGCTACAGCCAGTTAATATCTTAAGTAAAGTTTTGGTATTTGATAGATGGGCATCTCCCATTTCTGTGTGGCATTCAGGCTGAGGTGTCGGTGCAGAGGGTGTGGAGTTTCGAGGGTGCTGTGTTTTGCGAGGCACCACAGGGCTTCCGCACCTGGGTCCCCTCCTCCTTCTTTATGTCCTTGCCTGGCTGTGCCACCTGTGCTCCCTGACCCAATATGGAAGGCTCAGGTCCCCGCCTCTCAATGAACCCAGCAGACCCCAGTGCACGAGAGGCTTTTCTCAGACACCATCTTCCTTATGTCCTTCTGTTCTCGAAAACCTGGAATAAGTTTGTCACATCAGAAGAAAGCTTAACTTTCTATCTGGAGTCCCAGGCCCGCCCTGATCAATGTTTGCTGGGGCAGCGAGCCCTGTCACTCCTACAGAAGTGCCCGAGGCCCCACAGGTGGGGATGAGAGGACTTCCCGCCCTGGGCCACGAAGTTCACGTTCTCACACGGGCATCTGGATTCCACGGCTCAGGGTCCTTTAGGCCACAGAGTCCACACCCCGTGCCGCGAGCACGGGAGAGGTGCTGCACGCCCTGGGCCAGCTGCTGGGCTTCTGTGGGCCTCGGTTCCTTCATCCTTCAGTGGAGGTGACAGAACCTACCCTAGGGTGGATGGGAGGAGCTGGTAATCTGGCAAAACCAAACCCCCTGGAGGGTGATCGGAGGCCAAGTGGGCGCTGCCATCTGAACCGGACCTTAAGGGTGGTGCTTTCAGCTGTGATGGGGCTTAACTGACTCATTATCTCCCTGTCCCTTTTTGCTTGTGTTTTTGGTGTCCCAGCTAAGAATCTACTGTCCAATCAAAGGTCTTAAACCCTCCATGAATTTCACAGTCTGAGTTCCTGTGGTCGGGCCTTCGATCCACTGTGAGTAAATCCTGCGGGTGCCAGCCAGGCTCTTCCTAAGTGCCCACTCAGCATTAAAATTACTCTTCAAAATGACTTTAAAATAACTCAGGGGGAGGGGCCACGCTCCCTGCTCCGCAGATGAAGAAACGGAGCTCAGGGAGGTTAAGCTGCCCCAGGTAGCTGTCCGGTGGGGCTGGGCTCCAAGCAGGGCACAGGAGCCGAGGGCCTTGCCTGGCTGGCAGGGGGCAGGGGACCAGCCAGGTCTGGAACCTGGGTGGTGGCTCACAGCCTCATGTTACGGCTCGGTGAGTCTTACTAATGGAAGGCGTGATTTTTTAACCATAAATTACCAGAGAACATGCACACCTGGGTGAGGTGCAATTCCACCCTCACATACACTATGACACCCCTTCCTCATCTGGAAGAGAGCTTCTGCCAGAGCTGACACTTGTGGGGCACACGCAGAGGAACAGGCAGGGGAGGGTCACAATGAGGCCATCAGCTCTTCCTGAGGCAGGAGGGAAGAAACAAGAATCGGCAGGAAGGAGACAGGGAGGGAGGGGGCTGTGGCGTCCATCGGCGAGCTCCTTCCTCCAGCCGGGCCTGTTCTCCTGCAGCTGGACTCCTACAAGGCCCAGGAAGCCCAGTGAGCCCGTGCCTGGGCACCTTGCCATGTGGTTTTAGACTGATGAGGAAGCCTGGGGAGAGACTGTTGGGGACCAGAGACACACGCACCGTCCAGCGCCCTCTAGAGCTGGGTGACGTCAACCTGGAGGTCTGAGAGGAGCACATGCCCAGCCCCCGCTGCTCCACCACCAACGCCACCGAGCTCATTGGCCTGACGCCCCGTTCACCATTCACACTGTTCCCTGACGCCCAGAGCACGGCTCTCCCCCGTGAGTGCACATCCTGCTCGACTGCTTGCTTTCCTGCATGCATCTTTGCTTGTGCCTCTTTGGGTGATTCCTGAAACTCCTCTCTGCAGTGTGAGTCGAGGATGAGGCAGGGCTCTGTTGAGGGGCCTTTTCCCTTCTGGGGACCCCCTTGGATCCCGTCCTGTGACATCCCCGCAGATAAGACAGTCAGCAGCAGCAGCAGCAAGGCTCTTGCTGCCCTGGGTCACTTGGGAAAGAGCACTGGTCAGGGCCAGGGCCCCACGGCCCTCTGACCTACACTGGCCTCGAGTCCCTTCTCTCAGCAGAACCCAGCAGTCCAGGGTGCCGTGTGCAAGCTCAGCTCCTGCGGGTGTTCTGAGTGGGGGCTGCCCGGCCTCATTGGCCTTTTCCCTGGGGCGCTCAGCCAGAGCCTGCCCGCGAGGGCCACACCAGGCCAGGCCAGAGCCCCGCCGGAGCAGCAAGGCCTGCCCACTGCAGGAACCACCTGCCATGCTCCAGCTGGGGACCCCAGTCCCAGGAGGGGGGCCACCTCACTCTCCATCTGACCTTGGCTCTTCCTTCCAGAAAGCCCTAAAAGGCCGAGGCCCAGAGAAAAGGGCACTGGCAGTGGGGCAGGATGCCACCTGCCCTGCAGTCCTCGGACCGACCGAGGTTCCAAGTCAGAGACCATGCAACATTCCTGCAGAGATCGAGTGGGTCTGTTGAGAGGGACCGCAGTCCACACAGACATGGACAGTCCATCTCTGGTTTGCCCAGAACTCCTCCAGGTAGCAGGTGGGCCCCGGTGGCAGCTGGAAGAGAAGCAGCACCTGTGGGCAGTGGAGGTGGGGAGCTGTGTGCCTGGCCCTGTGCAGGGCCCTGGCCAGTGCTCACTGGGCACCCACAATGAGGAGCCTTGTCCCTTTGGAGGTACTCAGACCTCACCAGCAGGGCCAGGTCTTGGCACGGGGACAGTGCCAGCAGTTGCTTACATTAGTTGTTCCCTCTTTTACCAACATTTATTTTTACTTGTTTTTGATTGACATCTGTGATTATTCGTGCTTATGGTGTGCGGTGTGCTGATCCTACACAAGTGTACCACGCGTACTGACCCAGGGTCACTAGCCTTCCCATTGCCTTAGCGTTTATCACCTCCACGTGCCGGGAGCCTACAAATCCCTCTCTTCTAGTTCTCCATGAAACGCCCGGTACATTGTCGTCCACTGTCCTCAGCCCTCTGGGCTGTAGGTCACTAGAACTCTGTGCCCAGACAGGGGACACGCAGGCCATACACACCTGGCACCCCAAATGTCTCCTGTTAAGTCTGTCTGCTCAGCTGGCTGGATTTGGAATTTGAGTTTCTTACA